TATCGAGTTACCTACGTCAAAAGACTGCAGCCCTATAATATATAGCGCTGCTGTGTTGTTGCATTCACGGTACCGGAGAGGTTGTGTTTCGCGAGAGTTGACGCGTCCTCAATGAATGTCTGTTTGTCTGTTTGTTTGCTGGTTTGTTTGTTTGTTTGTTTGTAGTTTCGTTGGTGAAGATTTCGTCTTCGTTTTTTTTTCTCGTGTGTTTTTTTTTCTAAATTGTTGTTTATATTGATTTTAATAGCATACGGTATTGTCAAATTATGTTCTATTCTCTTTATTTATATTTTTTAAATCAATCCATGTATCTGTTTATTGGTATTCATTTTTAAAAATGTACTTGTTTATCGATTTACTTTTGGGGGAGAGGAGAAGGGGGGTAGGTTGGCAACTGGGAGATAGACAGATAGAAGACAAAAGTGGCTGTGGAAAAAACCTAGAACAGGTACATCGAGTTGAAGAACTTGACCAGGTGAGTCGCAGGGGAGGGGGGACACAGGAATAATAATAAATATATAAACCATGCAGAAAAATAATTGGTCGCTTTTAATTAAGCACAAGGGGGCTACCCCGGAAAATGATGTTTTGAGAAAAATCGAAAGTGAAGTTTTTACCCCTTTTTCAGTTTCTTTAAAGGACAAGGAGGGTTTTCTCTATAACCAAACAAATATATGCACCAATAAAACCAAACTTCTCCTATAGGTAGGGCAATGCCCACTTTTGGTGTTTGTCAAAATTTCTGGAAACCCTCGAAATCTGGGTTAGCCCTCGTGTCCTTAAAAGCGATCAATTATGGGTGGCAGACAATGGCGACTGATGCCCGTTTTGGATCAGGCAGTAGATGATGATGATGAAGACGAGAGATATCAATGTTCGCTATCAATAAACAAAATTAATAAGTTGTTATGATCTGAGATTTTGATGGTCAAAATATCCCCCTATTTTAGACCTCCATTCTGAAAAAGGTTGTCCTCCTACATCAAATAAATGCAAAGTCCACCCACTAAAAGAGCCAGAGAAGGCTGCAGAACCCCTTATTAAAATATCTTAAAATTATTTATAACTTTACAACAGTTTTTTAAAAAATGTATACGTTTTCTATAATAAGAGATTCCAATGTGTCAGCCATTACCATAGCAACACAAAAGCATTTTCAAAGTTTTACTTCATGATCAAATTCTCCACTCTATTTATATCGATGCCACCGTATTTGTAAGCTTAGTTTCTTCTTCTTAATCTTAACGATTTTCAAAATTTCCCCGCATCATGTCTTAAACCAGCCATTGTCAATCCTGTCCTGACGGCCACCTGTATAAGACAGCCATGACTATCCCTTACTTCCCATTTTGTATTATTCTTACATTATAAAGACATTACATCATAAAACCTCGAGGGTTCGTCCCCCGATCAGCGCAAAGAAAACAGAAAACAAACAAACATAAACAGCAGGAAAGCACCCAGGAGTCATGACCTGAGTGTGGCCCGGCCCCCTTAGAGTGTCAGGAAGTTAGGGCCGAAGCACTTGCTTGAGGGGGGTTCTTCCTCTGAAGATCTCCTTCTGTCCATTCGCCCCATAAGTTTTCCCATCATGTCATTGTGTAAGGCGTCCGCCTGTCTAATACGATCACTTTTCTCCTCGACATTGGGTCACCGTTTTATACGAGTTCGACAGTATGTTTGTCAGTTGTTTTTGTTTTGTTTCGTTATGTGGGTTTTTTTTTCATTCTAAAAAAGTTATCCATAGTCCCCGTGGACGTAACGTTTATACACAGGCTAGTATAAAAAAATACACAATAAACTGTCTACCATTGTAGTGTTGTGTAAAGCTACGTACCTACAAAGTATGAGCTCGGTTGACTGAACAACTGGTAGTAATGACTAATAGAGCATGCAAATAACAACAATTTATAAAGGTGAAGATAATATAATAATCCAAAAAAAACCTATGATACGAACCTTAGAGTATTTAAAGCATCCAAAAAGTTGAGAAGATAATGCTGGAGAGATCCACGCAAAAGCAGTTTAGTTCAAGTCTGTAGAGGAAGTCAAATCGTATTAGAATTCTAGACGTGTAGTGTAAAAAAAACCCCACAATGCCTTGTGTTGGAAGAGATTTCTAAGAGCATTAATAAGGTCTGCAGACGATTCGCCTTTTCACAAGTCGTAAGTGGAATCGCATCGCATCGTATCGGCATTGAACACACAAGTTCAACTATTTAGATGTTATTTAGAGAACATCAGCATGGAAATAGATATCTTTTAGAAATGTTCTGCTTTGATTGTGGTGTAGAGTTTAGGGTCTTCGCCGTTGTATGCAAAAGTTGTGAGTTCAATTCTCGTATGTGGGAGTACATTAAAAAAAAATCTAATGAGTTGAACCCCGCAAAGTCCAGGCTGACCTTTACAGGCAGTGACAAACCAAACCGCCGTCATAATGATCTGAATTGTATCAACAGGGGCGTAAGAACAAAATGTCTGGACATATTACAAAATTAGACAATATAACAATATTTAATTTTTATGCTGTCTTATTAACAGAGGACCATGTCAGTAAGGCAGTGGATTTTTCGTCTCTATTCTGCTCGAGAAACGCCACAGCACAAAATAATAAGATTCTTATTGATTTTGCGAATTTAGATAAAATAAAATAGAAAATAAATAAATTGCACATATTTTTGTCCCAGAAGGCACTTTGGTTTACAATGGCAAACATACATAATACATACATACAGAAATTATATATACGCACTTACGTAAATACATACAGAAATACACAATATTACACAAACACAAAACAGTTTACAACAATGCCACTGTCGGTCGCCACTGTGCAGCGCCCTAAAAAGGTCAATTACTTCAACCCTCTATTTATAGTTTACTTAATCTGCTAGAATCTACTCTCCACCCGGGGTCTCCACTTCTTGTTTTCGGCCAGGGG